TGATTGAATAGGGTGTACATTTGAAATTTTGGCATCAAGACAAGGCTGGACCTGAATCCTAACTTTCTTCCAGTAGAAAGACCACTGAGAATAAATTTGCCTGGGAGGATGAGGAGAATAAGGAATTAGAGGAACTAAGGCAGTGGGGAGAATGGTGAAAGGCTTTGACTTATAGGATGGAGATTTTAGCTCTGAGCTGTCAGTCCGTAAAACGTTTTTGTATGTGTGTGAGGAAGATGGGCCCTGAGCTAACATCCATGTCAGTCTTCCTCTACTTTGTGTATGGGACACCACCACAGCATGGCTGTGAACCCTGGGCTGCCAAAGCGGAGCGTACGAACTTGAACCATTTTGCCATCGGGCCGGCCCCCATAAAATGTTTTTGATAGCCTTTTATGACGTTGCTGTCATGATATGTTTATGAACTGTAATGAAGGAGTTTAGCCCTGAGGGAGGAGGTGACATCATTAAAGCAACACTTGCAGATGGTGACTTGGATGATCAACCTAACAGGCAAGAAAGGCCGGAAGGTGGCATGGCCTAATGGAGAGGGCCCTATAAGGTTTTGATTAAGGGTCTAAGGGATTAGGGGGTCTGAGATGTGAGGATAAATCAGCAAAGGACTTTTACGTGACATTTATTTAGAAAGGAGTGAGTGGAAATAAAACTTTTTATTTGGAAGATCAGTAATATAGTCCTGTTGTATTAGGAAGTGAGAAACAAAGGTATTGTGATGAGAAGTAAACAGCTCTATTTGTTTAAATTGAATTATTGGTGATATGTACAGTTCAAAATGATTTTTCTCTTAAGTGGACCCAAACCAAAGGAATAAGATCATTTTTAATCTGGTGTGCCCAGTGTACTGTTGTGAAGAGAAATACAGGATCACCCCAGCTCGCTCAACTAAACATAGCCTGGTCCTCTTCCTATTCACTGTGCTGTAGGCAGAAAGAGAGGAGAGATGAGCGAAGGCTTTATCACCGTTTTCTTTTTTTTTAACTGTCCTTCTCAGTGGTCTTCAGCTTCTCTTAAAGTGCAGTTCATTGTGCACAGCTGCATACGTTTTTGTCATTGGATTGTTCCATCTTGTCTATAGCTCGTGTGACCTTACCTTCCATGCCTGTTGCTCTGACGATACCACCTGCATCCTTAGGCTCTTGGGCTTCAGCCATAGTACAGTACATATCATTCGTTCTTTTTTTTCTTTTAAAGATTTTATTTTTCCTTTTTCTCCCCAAAGCCCACCCAGTATGTAGTTGTGTATTTTTAGCTGTGAGTCCTTCTAGTTGTGGCACGTGGGACGCCGCCTCAGCATGGCTTGAAGAGCAGTGCCGTGTCCCCGCCCAGGATCTGAACTGGCGAAACCCTGGGCCGCCGGAGCAGAGCGCACGAACTTAACCACTCGGCCACGGGGCCGGCCCCTCATTCGTTCTTTTTGCAGTGGTTTGTTGTGTGCCTTCTGTGTGTCAGTACATTCACACTGCTCAGTAAACTTTAATAGTGAAATAGATGAAATTGAAAGAGCCAGTATGATGAATTTAATTGTCAAGTCCTGGGGGGCTGTTATATGGCTTACTAGGTTTGGCTGTATCTGACAGAGCCTACAAGTAAGTGATTTAAACAGGGTAGACATTTTTTGTTCTTTCATGTAAAAGTGAGCCAGCATGGTGGTTCTGCTACACGAAGGCCTAGGCCCGACCTCTCTGGTTGCTCCAACATTCCTGGGGTGTTGCCCTTGAGGGCCTGGTCCCGGATGACTGGCTCCCACTTCTACAGCCAGCCAGCAGGAAGGGGGAAAATGCATGACCTGGAAGTTGCTGTGTCATTTCTGGTCAGAACTTGGTCTCTTGGTGATACCCTAGCTACAAGATTGGGTTGGAAATGTATTTCTTTTGGGTAGTTATATGCCCAGCTAACCATCTATTGCCATAGAAGAAGGGGAAAACAAGTATTTGGGGGAGCACCCAGCCATCTCAGGGTCTTTGTTTGGTACTGTCATGAGTACTGCTCAGTACTTAACACTGTGGCTTATCCATAAGGTCTGAATAAATTGTTCTCACTAGTTCTTCCATAGGAAAGATCGAAGGTCTTTAGGTGCTGGATTCATCTGCTGTTGTGCTAGTAAGAAGAACGGTAAGAGATTATTGACAGAAATGTTTCCCTTTTTTTTGGAGAAGAATACTAGCCCTGAGCTAACATCTGCTGCCAGTCCTCTTTTTGCTTAGGAAGACTGGCCCTGAGCTAACATCCGTGTCCATCTTTCTCTAGTTTATACGTGGGACGCCTGCCACAGCATGGCTTGCCAAGTGGTGCCATGTCCGCACTCGGACCCAAACCGGCGAACCCTGGGCTGCTGAAGCTGAACGTGTGCACTTAACCGCTGCACCACTGGGCCGGCCCCAGAAATGTTTCCCTTTTATCAAGCAATGATGGGAAAGAAAAGTCTTAGTATACATTTACTATAATGATAGTGTGTCATTTAGCCTATATTTATAACTTGTTTTCCAATAGTCTGCAAAAAATTAAAAAGTGGCAGGAACCCTTTTGTTGCGCTCTGATATTCTGAGTATAAGACGAGAGCAGCAGTTCCCGTAGCTGAAAGGGTGGAGTCTGGCAGTCAGGCTCTTCTGTCTGCTTTGCCTGCTGTGTTTCTTCAGTGTTTCTAAAGTAAGAGACGAAAATAATTTGGGGACCGTTTGTGATTTTTGGCCGTCTCTGCCTACCTGTGCTGTGTCTTACTTAGTATTTGTCCTTCAGTTTACTGTAAATTGATTCACTTTTTTTTTTTTTTTAAAGATTTTATTTTTTCCTTTTGCTCCCCAAAGCCCCCCCGGTACATAGTTGTATATTCTTTGTTGTGGGTCCTTCTAGTTGTGGCATGTGGGACACTGCCTCAGCGTGGTTTGATGAGCAGTGCCATGTCCGCGCCCAGCATTCGAACCAACGAAACACTGGGCCGCCTGCAGCGGAGCGCGCGAACTTAACCACTCGGCCACGGGGCCAGCCCCTAAATTGATTCACTTTTAAACTTAGCCCCCTTCTACGCAATAATCTATTAAAACATGGTTTTGTTTCCTAATGTACATTAAAATATATAATTATTAAAATAAAAAAATGTACTTTTAGCTACCTAAAAACATCTCCTTTCATAGCAGTGGTTCGTACTCACATTAAGGAAATAGTCCTTTGCCTCATTCCTTAGACCCTGCTAGTTTTTTAATAAATTTTCCATAAATCTGTGGCTATTAAGTGGCTCTGAATTTCAAAGAATTAATCTTTGTGCTTTCTACTCTGGTAGGGAAACTACTAATTAGGCTTAATTTTGAGCTAAAGAATTAATTGCGTCTGTAACTTGGATTAAGTTATTAAGAGTGATCTGGGGACTGGCCTGGTGGCGCACTGGTTAAGTTCGCACGTTCTGCTTCGGCGGCCCAGGGTTCACTGGTTCGGATTCCGTGTGCAGACATGGCACAGCTTGGCAAGCCATGCTGTGGCAGGCGTCCCACGTATAAAGTAGAGGGAGATGGGCATGGATGTTAGCTCAGGCCCAGTCTTCCTCAGCAAAAGGAGGAGGACTGGCAACAGATGTTAGCTCAGGGCTAATCTTCCTTAAAAAAAAAAAAAGTGATCTGCAAAATGTAGCCACCTAAAGATCTTTTCAGGCTTTTCTCCAGGACCTGTTGGGCAAGATGCTTAATTTTTGTAAGCCTTGGTTTCCTTATTTTTACAAAAGGGCAGTATCATTTACCTCGTAGGTTGTTCTGAAGATTGAATAAAGTAATGTGTGTAAAAAGCCTAGCGGTGGCAGGCACCCTTTCTACTGTTGGTGGACGTTTGGGTTCTTTACAGTTCTGCACTGTTTTGAATAAAGCTGATGGAAACATTCTTGTATGTATGTCTTTTAGTGGATGTAAGCATTTATGTCTTTTAGGTACATACCTAGGAATGGATTTGCTGGATCATAGGTATGTTTAGTTTTAGGAGATACTGCCACAGTTTCCCAAAGTAGTTATAGTCCCATCAGAATGTATGAGAATTCTGTGTGTACAGCCTCTCCCGCAGTGGATAGTGTCAGTCTTTTAAATTTTAGTCATTCTGATGGGCAGGTAGTAGTGTTTCTTTATGGTTTCAACTTACATTTCTTTGATAAGTAATGGTATGGAAGCACCTTTTCATATGATTATTGACCATTTGGATATCCTTTTTTTGTGAAGTGCCTGTTCAGTCTTTTGCCCATTACTGTTTTTAAAATTGGGATATTTATTTTTTTCTTACGGATTTTTATGTGGATTCTAGATATGAATCCTCTGGATGTAAGTGTTGTATGTATTTTCTCCTAGCCTGAGGCTTGCGTTTTCACTCTTATTGGTGTCTTTTTTTTTCCTTTTCCTGAGGAAGATTAACTCTGAGCTAACACTTTTGCCAGTCTTTCTCTAATTTATATGTGGGTTGCTGCCATAGCATGGCTGATGAGTGGTGTAGGTCCGTCCCCAGGATCTGAACCTGTGCACCCCAGGCTGCTGAAGCGGAGTGCACCAAACTTAACCACTAGGCCATGGGGCCAGGCCCTAATGGTGTCTTTTAATGAACAAAAATTCTTAATTTTAGTCAAGTCTGATTTGTCATTTTTCTTTTCTTTTTTTTTTTGAGGAAGATTAGCCCTGAGCTAACTACTGCCAGTCCTCTTCTTTTTTGCTGAAGAAGCCTGGCCCTGAGCCAATATCTGTGCCTATCTTCCTCTACTTTATATGTGGGATGCCTACCACAGCATGGCATGCCAAGCGGTGCCATGTCCACACCCAGGATCCGAACCAGCGAACCCTGGGCCTCTGAAGTGGAACGTACGAACTTAACTGTTGTGCCACCGGGCTGGCCCCTGTCATTTTTCTTTTATGATTAGTGCTTTTGTGCCCTGTTTAAGAAGATTTTTCTCTTCCTGTGTTCAAAAATATGTGTTTAAAAAATATTTGAAACTACTTTTTTTGTCTACAACAACATAGGTGATGCCATGGAGAGTGGAAAGCCTGGTCCAGTGCAGGTTGTTTTGGTTCACAAAGAGCAACATTCCTTTGAGCTAGAAGAGAAAGCCTTGGCCAGCATCCTCTTGCAGGACCACATCCGAGACCTCGATGTGGTGGTGGTGTCAGTGGCTGGTGCCTTCCGAAAGGGCAAGTCTTTCTTTCTGGACTTCATGCTACGATACTTATATTTCCAGGTAAGGTAGAGTTATTTCATTTCAAATTAGAAAAGGAGACTTTTATGTCTAAAAGAGCAAAATAAGCTTGTGGATTATCCTTGATATGTAAAATTACTCAACATTTAAGATTTACTGGAAATTTCTTATTTTTCCTGTAGAAGGAAGGTGGCCGTTCAAATTGGCTGGGTGAGCCTGAAGAACCGTTAACAGGATTTTCATGGAGAGGAGGCTCTGACCCGGAAACCACTGGGATTCAGATCTGGAGTGAAGTTTTCACTGTGGAGAAGCCAGGTGGGAAGAAGGTAAGGAAGAAAAAGAGAAATTAAAAAAACAGCAAAATGAGAACTTTAATGTATATGCTAATAATCCAGTTAAAAATATTTTTATCAAAATGATATAAGTTCATGGTTTAAAAATAATGCATGAATACAGTTTAGAAGATCAGATAGTAATATAAAATTTCTAACAAAAAGTAGCTGTCGTGTGCCCCATTCCTCCCTCTGCTCATTTTCACTCCTCAGAGGCTAATGCTCTCAGTGGTTGTAGATGTTACTTCTTCCTTACTTTCTTCCTCCTGTGTGGGTGACCTAGACCTGGCTGCCGTCATTCTGGGAGCTGAGCAGGGAAAGGGCACTAGGGGACCTCACAGTTCAGGAGGTGGGCTTTCACCCCGCACACCTCCTGCTATCAGTAGTGCATCTTACCCCATCTCGTCCGTGCCTAGCCACAGCCATAGAGCCTCTCCCCAGATTTCTTTGTCTGGATCAGGAGGGGCAGGTTGTGTGAAGAGGGGATTTGTGGGTATCACTGTTTGTTAAACAGACTCTAACCCATTCCTTGTGTCTTTAGCCCCATCCTAAAGCATGCCTTCACAGCTGTTTGTGCCTCTCATTTTTGAGTCTTTCTAGAGCTTGAGGTTTCAGATCCTCCCTTCAGGGTGTGCAGGTTCAGCCTTTTCCTGAATGCTAAGTCATTCAGTATTTGGGCAGCTGGAGAGGTGGCACACAACTCTTGATTGCTGTTTTCATGTCTTCTATTTTTTTCCTTATACATTTCCATATTCTTTTTATATTTTATTTCTCTCTTATTTTTAGTGAGGTTTCAGGAGAAAGGTGTATTGGAAAACGCTTAATTTTTTTTAATGCATAATGCATAGATACACAGAAAAATGTGTAGCAATATGGGGATGTTATTGCACCTTTTTTTAAAGAAAGAGAATCTAGGAAATTCAGGAGTTATAACATTGAAATATAACATTGGGAACTTTTTCTTGGAAGGATCTTTAGATATTATTTTATCCAACCTTTTAATTTTTTCACAATTCTGTTGAGATATAATTGACATTCCGTTTCATTCCTCCCAGCTTTTGTGCTGTTGTCACATATTTTACTTTAATAATATTGTTTCTATTTTTGTTTAAACAGTCGAAACAGTTATCTTTTAAAGATATTTAAATAATAAGAAAAAACCATTTACCCGTGTAGTTACCATTAACTTTTCATTTCTTCGTGTCCATATTTCTGTGTCCATTTTTCTCTCTGCCTAAAGGACTTCCTTTACTACTTCATGTAGTGCTGGTCTGCTGGTGAATTCTTTTAGCTTTTTTATAGCTGAAAAGTCTTTATTTTGCCTTTGTTTTTGAAAATATTTATGCTGGGAATAGAATTCTAGGCTGACAGGTTTTTTTTTTTTTTTTTCAGTGCTTTAAAGATGTTGCTCTCCTGCCTTTTTGCCAATATTGTTTCCAGATGAGAAATCTGTCATCCTTATCTTTGTTCTTGTGTGCCTAACATGTCTTTTTTTTTGTCTGGTTGCTTTTAAAATTTTCTGTTTATCATTTTTTTTTTTTTGAGTAATTTGATTATAATGTGTCTTGTTGTAGTTCTCTTCATGTTGCTTGTGTTTGGATTTTCTTGAGCTTCTTGAATCTACAAGTTTGATCAAATTTGGAGTTTTGGCGGGCCATTGTTTCTTCTAATATTTTTTTGTCCCTTATTCCCCTTGGGGACTCCTATTACCTGTATATCAGGCCACTTGAAGTTGTCCCATAACTCACTGATGCTCTGTTCACTTTTTAAAAATTTTTCTTTTTCTCTCTGCTTCCTTTTGGTAAATTTCTATTGCTGTTTTCAGGTTCACTAATCTTTATGATCTGCTATTAATCCCATCCAGTGTGTTTCCTTTCAGACATTGTGATTTTCATCTCTGAAGGTTCACTTTAGGTCTTCTTTGTGTCACGACCTAATTTCTTGAATATATGGAGCACAGTTATACAGAGTACTGTTTTAAAGTTGTTTTCTGTTAGTTTTAACATCTGTGTCAGTTCTGCATTAGTTCTGATCGATCTTTCTCCTCATTTGGGTCATATTTTCCTGCTTTGTCTGCCTGCAGAGTTGTGATTGGATGCCAGATGTGTGAATTGTACCTTGTTGGATGCTGGATATTTTTGTATTCCTATAAAATGTTGAGCTCGTTTTGGGATGTAAAGAAATTTGGAAACTTAGATCCTTTCTGGTCTTGCTTTTAAGTTTTCTTCAGTGGGCCCAGAGCAGTATTTAACTAGAGCTATCTATTCCTCACTACTGAGGCGAGACTCTTCTGAGTACTCTCCCCAGTGCCCCGCAAATTATGGGTTCTTTGCAGTCTGGCTGGAGGGGACGACACTATTCCTGGCCTTCTTTGAGCACTGGGTCCTCATCCTCTAAACCTTTTGAATGTTCTCTGTCCAGCCTCAGGTAGTTTCCTCATGCACGTGTGCTGGTCAGTACTCAGCTGAACACTCGATGGTGACCGTCTGCAGATCCCTGGGGTTCTTTGGGCAGCTCTCTCCTCTCAACTGTTCCACCTGGGAACTCCAGTTGCTTTGGTCTCCCTGACTCTCAGCTCTGTCCCCTCAACTTGAAATCCATTGGCCTCTGCCTGGCTTCCCCTCCCTGTGCTTGGCTAGTAAGCTGGGACGACCGCAGGGCTCACTGCATCTGTTTCCTTTCTCTCAAGGATCATTATCCTTTGTTACCTGATGTCCAGTGTCTTGAAAACTGTTGTTTCATATATTTTGTTTGTTATTTTTTGGTTTTAGGTGGGAGGGTAAAGCTAGTCTCTGTTACTCCATTTTGACTGGAAGTGGAAGTCCAATCTTTTCATTTCAGAGATGCCGAAAATGGACTCTGAGTTAAGGGTTTGCTGTTGGTAACATAGCTGGCTGCTCTTAGAGTTGGCATTACAACAAGGCCCTGTGACTTTCATTTCAGTTCTGTTTTTCTGTGTTATTCTCTCTCTGTATTTCTGGTAGTGTGTGGTAGATGCTTTCAGTAATTTTTTTCTCTTTTAAAAAACCATCTTTATTAAGATATATATATATAGAGTGTTAAAGATATATAAATTGTACATTTAAAGTGTACAATTAATGATTTTTAAGTGTCAGATTTGTATAATCATCACCAAAATCTAATTTTGGGACATTTTTCTCACCTCATAAAACAACTCTGTTCCCATTGGAAGTCGCTTCCCAGTCTCTAACCCTCAGGTCTGGGCAGTCACTAATCTACTTTCGTTCTCCGTAGATTTGCCTGTTCGTGGGATTATACCGTATGTTCTTGTATGTCTGGCTTCTTTCACTTAGCATGATATTTTCAAGGTCCACTCATGTTGTAGTATGTTTTGGTACTTTATTCCTTTTTGTTGATGAATAATATTCCAATGGATGGATATACCACATTTTGCTTATTCATTGGTTGATGGACATTTGGGTTATTTTCACTTTTCTGGCTGTTATGCATAATGCTGCTGGGAACATTTATGTACAAGTTTTTGGGCAGACGTGTTTTCATTTCTCCTGGTATATATCAGATTATACTGTAACTCCATGTTTAATCACTTGAGCAACTGCCAGAGTGTTTTCCAAAGCCTCCAGATACCATTTTACGTTCCCATCAGCAGTGTATGTGGGTTGCAATTTGTTAAATTATCCATATCCTCACCAATTCAACAACAAAAACATCTGAATGACTGGCTGGGTGAGTGAGCTGATTGGCCTCAACATTTGGCTGTTTTAGTTGGAGGCGGGCAATACTCCCCTCCTTCCATATTGCTCTGTGCCCCTCTGTTTTGTATCTTCTCACCAGGTCAGAGTAGTTAATCTTCTCCAGCAAAGTTCACTGGTCCAAACAAGGCAGCTAATAATTGTGCTTTTCTGATAGAACCTACAGAACAGGTGCTCAAGCTTCATTTCAATGTCACCTGTGCTTTTCAATCTCTCCTTTACATTTTCCCCATCTCACTTTAGCATATTTTGTTCTTATTTTCCTTTTTTTAGGTTGCAGTTGTTCTGATGGATACCCAGGGGGCATTTGACAGCCAGTCCACCGTGAAAGACTGTGCTACCATCTTTGCTCTCAGCACCATGACTAGTTCTGTTCAGGTAAAACCATGGACCAAAAGAAAAGTGTGCAGAGGAGATACGATAAAGGGAGTCCATCTAGTTTCAGCTATTGTTCTGTTGTCAGAATTTCTATGATGATATATAAATGTTCTTGTTACACTATAGGTACATGTTAAGCTCAAGAAGGAACCTAACCTGTTTTTCTGCTTTGGTCATAAATATATGTAAAACGCTCCAAGAAAAGTCTGAAAAATGAGAATTTAAATTACATCAATTATGGGGCCAGCCCTGTGGCACAGCAGTGAAGTTCACACATTCCACTTTGGCCGCCTGGGGTTCTCCAGTTCAGATCCCGGGTATGGACCTTTGCACTGCTTGTCAAGCCATGCTGTGGCAGGTGTCCCACATATAAAAAGTAGAGGAAGATGGGCATGGATGTTAGCTCAGGGCCAGTCTTCCTCAGCAAAAAGAGGAGGATTGTCGGCATATGTTAGCTTAGGGCTAATCTTCCTCAAAAACAATAAAATAAATTACATCAATTATAGGAGGTGTAGATTAGACAAGAATTTAGGAAAGCTATATTTTAAACTGTAGGGGAAGAATTTCGTGATTTCAACTTTATATATGCATAGTTTTCTGAAAGATATAATATTACTGTTTGAATAGACCTCATGTTCTTATATGCAGACCTTTAGTTCTATAAAGCTTCTGTTCAATTTGGCTCATTTGGAATTTGTTTTAAATAAGCTCGAGTAGTATCAATTCAATTTGGCATATTTGGAATTTGTTTTAAATAAGCTCGAGTAGTATCAATCTGGATTTTTGTTTTCTAGATTTATAATTTGTCCCAGAACATTCAGGAAGATGATCTTCAACAGCTACAGGTATATGTTCCTCATAAAAAATTTAACATCATAATATATTGTTTAAAAGTTTTAAGACTAAGAAAAATTTTACAATTGAGTAGTTTTAGCAAAAGATTGAAATATGGAGGAAGGTTTTGCATTCATGGTAATCCTACGTGGTATCTGTTGCTGGGGTGGAGCTGGGGTGGTCAGGGGAGGCCTTACCGAGTTGAGCAGGGAACAGAAGAAAGTGGGTGAGTAAGCTCTGTGGACACTTCTCAGAGGAAAAATGTTATAGGAGAGGGAAGAGCAGGAAGAAAGACCTTGAGGTGGAGTGTGCTTGGCAGGGCCAAGGACCAGCAGGGAGGCCAGTGGGTGGGCTTGGGGGCTGTGATGGGAGGAGGCTAGGTGATGCAGTCAGAGGGGCACTGAGGTCCTGGTGATGTGGGGCCTTTGTAAGGACTTGAGCTTTTCCTCTCGGTGAGATGGGAGCCGTGTTGTGAGCAGAGGAGTGATGTTATGTGACGTATTGTAAAAGGATCCCTCTGGCTGCTGTGTTTAGAATGGATTTTTAGGGGGGCAAGCCAGCATTCAGTGAGACTGGTTATGAAGCTATTGCAGTAATCCAGGTGAGGTGAAATACATTAATGTGCCTGGAACAATAGTATGTGCTTAGTAACTGCTGCCCATTATTTCTCACTACTGTTACTACTGCTATTATTAGTCATGGTCTTCTGTTCTCCATAGCAGCAGTTCTTATGTTTTTCTGTAAAACACTCTTCTGTGGGTATTGCAGAGTCGGAATTCCACTTCCCCCACTGACATTCAAGAAAACATCAGAATGTGAGAGAGTGAGGCTTTCATTTCTCATAGGGATTAGCCTTGAATTAGTTCTAATTTATATTCATTTAAAAAAAAACAAAATAATTCCTAAACTTTTGCCTTTAATGTTACTCCTAGCATTCCTTGTACTTCATAATTGATGGTTCTACACCAGTGCCATGACTCAGTGGTTGAGAGCTGTTGCTCCTTAAAACATTTTCATCAAAACTTGAGCTTGACACCTTTTCACCTGAAACTTATTCTTCTCTAAGCTCCTTCCTCTTGCGTATTTTTTGGAATGCCTGCCTTGTGTGAGGCAGTGGACCCAGTGCTATAGATAGACGTGATTCTTGTCTGTATGGATTTTATAGTTCGGTCAGTGAGAGAGAGACATAAATGAATAGGCATGGATGGTGTATTAGGACTGCAGCAACAGTACCACACACTGGGGCCTTAAAACAACAGAGATTTATTGTCTCACACTTCCGGAGCCTAGAAGTCAGAAATCAAGTGGGGAAGGGCCGTCTCTCTGCAGCCTGTGGGAGAGAACCGTTCCTTGCCTCTTTCCTGCTTCTCGTGGTTTGCCGGCGATCTGGCATTCCGTGGCTTGCAGTTGCAGCACTTCAGGCTCTCCCTCTGTCTTCACGTGGCTGTCGTCCTTCTGTGTCTTCACTTTGCCTTCTTCCTGTGTATCTGTTATTTCTTCTTGTAAGGACATCAGTCATTGGATTAGGGCCCATTCTAATGACCTCATCTTAACTTGATTACATCTGTGAAGACTGTTTCTAATAAGGTCACATTCACAGGTACCAGGGATTAGGACTTCAGCATACTTTTGGGGGATAGGAGGAACACAATTCAACCCATACCAAGTGGTAAGGAAATTATGATGCAGTTACAGAATTCTCCTATGATGCTGTTCTCAAGAGCTCCACCATCCTCTGGTTCCTCAAACCCAAGATATGTTTAAGCGTGTCTTTCTCATAATCGTTTCAACATCAAGCTTTCCTGCTTCTTTTAATCATGTCCTACTGCAGAGGAGGAAAAGCATCTTCCCTCTACTCCTCTTAGGTTCTTGGCTGAGGCAGGGAGTGAATGGAAGTGCCTGCTTTGATGAAGACTGGGACAGGGCCAGAGTCCTCGATGGATGAGAGGGAGTGACCACATGGTTAGTAGAGGGACAGCAGTAAGGAATAGGGGGAAGAGGTTCTACAGAATGGCAAGAATCCTAAAGGAGCAGGCTTTTTACAAGGGGACGGAGAATCAAGGCTTAGAAGTGATAAACTGAAGTGAGGAATTCACCAACCCAGCTCTCGATCCGGAGACACAAGGGGTTTGAGAGAATAGTAGCCACTACTTGAGATATCTACAGGGAAAATTGTGCCCTCAGGTTTTAGTTAAAGCAAGGAGGTAGAAGAAATGCTCAGAGAAGCAGCTGGAAATTTTGGGCAGTGTTCAATGTGCATCTGAAATTGCAGAAGATACAGTGGAAGTGTCTGGTGTGGGGGAAGGGAGGTCTGGAGTATTATGTGGATGAGGTGCCAGTGCCTTAGGCCGAGTAGCTGGGGGGAGGGATGGGGCTACAGTTAGGGCATTGGTTGGTGAAAATGGGGATGGTAGGTGTGGTGGATTTATTCTCTATAGAGGCTGGCCACTGGGCCTAATGGCTGGAGGACTTGTCTCGCTTGACAAGGCTGATTGATGGTGGAGCCAGAAATTGCATTAAAAAAGAGGAAAATGCTATTCTTGTGTGTCTGGAAATCCACAAGAATCAAGTGGAAAACTATTTAGAATGAAAAAAATAATTAGATAACCATCACAAAATAGAAATACAGAAATCAATAGACTTTCCTATCTACCAACATTAACCAGTTTAAAAATGTAATGAAAACATTCGCAACAAAATATTAAAAATATTGGAATAAATAAATATTAGAATAAACCTACAGAGATCTTTATTCTTCATAACTGAGGCTCATTGTGAACTATGATTGCATTTCTTGTAATTGATTACCTTTGTCACCTTTTTCATTAGTTTAGTGTTCTATGTGCTTATCACTAACGCATCCGCAGAGGATAGGCTGCTAACCCTTCTTAGCATGGTCTCATCACTTCAGGTCCTGTTTCCTTTTCCCTGGGGAGGCGTCCCTCCTGCTGCTGTCTTCTCCTCTAGTTGGGACGGCCTCTTCTCAGCCTGGTGCACAGTCATCATCCTGGCAATTGCTTTTCAATTCCTTGGATCAGTTGGATCCCATTTGATCTTTTATTTGTTTATTCTCTCCTTATTCCTATGCATTCTCCAGTAGCTTCCTGAGAAAGTATAGAAAGCTTGCATAGGAGGTAACTTTTTTGAGGCCTTGTAAGTCTGAGAATATTTAAATTTTATCCTAGAATTATAGGATGGAATAATTTTCTTTTAGACTTGAAGGCATTGCTTCATTCATTGCCTTCTAGCTTCCACTGTTGCTGCTGAAGTCCCACACCATCTGACTCCTGATCCTTTGTGTGACCTTTTTGTTTCTCTCAGAAGCTTAAGATCTTATTCTTCGCATGAATTTTCATGGTAATGTATCTTACTGTGAGCTTTTTCTTCATTCTTTGTAAACTCGTATTCTCAGAAAGATAAGATGTTGCAACTGTTGTAACCAAGAAATAACAGGATGCTGTTAAAAAGCCGCCTTCAGAAAACAAAAAAAGAGCTCCTGGAAATTAAAACTATGACAGCAAAAATGGAAAATTCAGTAGAGGAGGAGTTAGAAGATAAATTGGAAAAAATTTCCCCAGCAGATTGAATGAAAAGACAAAGAGTAGAAATTGGGAGGCCTGCCCAGTGGCACAGCTGTTAAGTGTGCACATTCTGCTTTGGCTGCCTGGGGTTTGCCAGTTCAGATCCCCGGTACGGACATGGCACCGCTTGGCAAGCCATGCTGTGGTAGGTGTCCCACATATAAAGTAGAGGAGGATGGGCATGGATGTTAGCTCAGGGCCAGTCTTCCTCAGCAAAAAGAGGAGGATTGGCAGCAGATGTTAGCTCAGGGCTAATCTTCCTCAAAAAAAAAAAAAGAAAATTAAAAAAATTAAAAGAAATTGGGAAGAGGGGGAGTGAAGCAGAGAGATAGGGAAGAGAAGAGAGAAGGGCAGGGTGGGGGGGGGAGGGGAGAGAAGGGAGAAGGGGGGAAGAGGAGATGGAGTGAGGGAGGAGAGACAGAACGGAAGACAATAAAAAAGGAAAATTTGAGGATTAATTCAGGAGAGGTTTAACATGTTAATAACAGGTGTTTTGGTAAATGAGAAATGAGAGAAAGAAACTATAAGAGGAATAATATAAGATGGTTTTCTAGAACTGAAGGACTTGAGCTTCTCTCTTTCCTGCTGGAAGCTTTTCCCAAAGGCCTGGTTTTGACTGTGTTTAAGAGTGAGCCCCTGAAAACCCGCCTGGGAGCTTTGGTGAGAGGGTGGGCCTTGTGTACTGGTTTGGATAACCGTGAGGTGATTGGGCAGGATTATTTAGCTATTTTGTTGCAACCCCTAATGTCTTCTTTTCTAGACTGTTATTCTTGGGCTGTCAATTTCCCCAGAGACTTCTTTAACCTCCTGGCTGGGTGGGTGGAAGCTTAGGGTGGCTCCAGCAGGGTGAGAGGGCTAAGGAGTGTCACTGTTCAGTAGGTAAACTGTGACGTAAGTACCCATTTCCGGTAAGGTAGGGGACTTACTCCTGTCCTCAGCTGAGTTTGGCGTCAAAGTCTAAATTCTTGTTGCTTTACCCTCTCCAGAGGGTACATGTCCCATCTCTGTGGGGCAGGAAGAGGATTGGAGCGGGGGAGGGAGCAGGATCTGGGAGTGTGGGTGCTCTCTCCAGAGACATTCAACCATTTCTTAGTTTTCAGCCCTCTCCCTCACTCCTCCTTCAAGGTGACTGGGGCTTCTAATTTCTGAGCCTTTCAGAGAATCTGCTAATTTCTTGATGGCTCCTGCCTCTTGCGGATTTCTTAGCAGAGCAGAGAAAGCCCAAACCAGACACTTCTTTCTCATTTGTCTGTTTTCCTCCCGGAGTATTTTTAATAACTCTTCTCTGCTGTCATATCATTTCTCATCCTCTTTGTCCTGTGAGTTTATAACTTTTAAACTTTGTTTTGCAATACTTTTAGTAAGGCTTCATGAAGAGATAGAGGTAAATGTATGTATAAACCTTAACCTTAAAGAATTCGTTCATTCAGGGGCTGGCCCAGTGGCACAGGGGTTAAGTTTGCATGTTCTGCTTCTCGGTGGCCCAGGGTTCGCCAGTTCGTATCCTGGGTGTGGACATGGCACCGCTTGGCAAAAGCCATGCTGTGGTAGGCGTCCCACGTATAAAGTAGAGGAAGATGGGCACAGATGTGAGCTCAGGGCCAGTCTTCCTCAGCAAAAAGAGGAGGATTGGCAGTAATTAGCTCAGGGCTAATCTTCCTCAAAAAAAAAAAAAAAGAATTTGTTCATTCAGTCGTTTGAATGGCATACATATCACGGGCCCAGGGCTCTTCTTACTGCTGGAGGTGCACAAAACAGACGAACATTCCTGCCCTCATGGAATTTACAGGCTAGCAGTGAAGACAGACACTTGTCAAGATAAGTAAAGGTATAGTGTGCTGGATAGTGAGATGGGTTAAGGAGTAAAATAAAAAAGAGACATGAGGTAGGAAATACTGTATGGAGAGTTGTAATCTTGTTAGGCAGATGGCCTGGAAGGCTTCATTGAGAAGGAGCCCTCTGAGTAAAGACCTTAAGAAGTGAGGGAGCTGATTGTGCATATTTGGGGGAAGAACACTGCGGGCTGAAGGAGGGATCAGAACAAAGCCCTGAGGCAGCAGTGTGCTCAGCGTGTCTGAGGAGCAGCTGGGAGGGCCAGTGTGGCTCGATCCCGGTGAGGACTGGCTGTTATACTGAGTGAGGCTGGGGTTGTGAACAGAGGCGTGAAGTGACCTAGCTAACCTTATTTATGATGAAGCCACTGAGGCTGCTGTATTGAGAATAGTCCCTGGGGGCGGGGACTGAGAAGGGGAGCCCAGTTAGGAAGCTGCTGCAGTGTCCAAGCCGCGAGGAAGCTGTGAGTGAGGAAGCTGAGTGCTCGGATTCTGGGTTTGCTAATGAGTCGGCCTGCGGCATGTGAGGGAGAACCACCACCAAGATTACTTTAAGGTTCATAGTTCCTGTGCGCTTTTGAAACTATATAACTTTGGTCTCATACAAGTAGTATTCAGTCTGTTAAATGAATTCTTTGTTGAAGAATAGCCATAGAAATATTTTAAGTAATTTTGCCTTACAAATCATAACTCTTCTTTTTTAAAGCTCTTCACAGAATATGGTCGTCTGGCGATGGATGAAATTTTCCAAAAACCCTTCCAGGTAGAATGTTAACTATAAATGTAATTCATATGTTTGTTTTAGTTGAGAGACCAGTGAACTATAGCCCGCAGGCCAAATCTGGCCAGCTGCCTGTTTTTATATAACCTGTGAGTTAGGAATGGTTTTTATATTTTTAAATGGTTGGAAAAAATAAAAAAGAGGAATAGTATTTCATGATGTGTAAGTTGCATGAAATCTAAATGTCAGAGTCCATAGCTAAAGTTTTATTGGAACACAGCTGTGTTCATTTGAATTGTCCATGGCTACTTCTTCTACGACAGCCTGAAATATTCACTCTCTGGCCCTTTACAGAGAGTTTGCTGACCCCTTCTTTAGCTGATTGTTTCATGATGATGAGAATGCACAATAACCTCAGTAAGATGAGAGGACCTTTAAGTATTATTTAATTTAGTTTTCTTTTCCTTCCCCCGGTTACAAGTAGGTCTGATTCTATGATCAACCTGTGCCATGTTGTCTTCTTCTCCTTTCCCCGTTTCTCCTACTTGCTTAAAGAGCAGAGAGTTAAATTTAACATTTTCCCATCAACCTCTTCTTTCTGTTCCTATTATCCGTGGGAACAAGAATAGCAGATAGAATATGCAGACCTCACATTTGGCATATCCATGTCGTTCTTGTGTTTTTAAGGTTTCTAAGCTGGTACAGAATAGATAACATCCTTCAGCACATTTTCTTGCCCCCCTTTGAAGAAGCTGGCATTATGCAAAGAAGTATTTCACTTGGTATTTTGAAATGCATTTATGCAACACTGTAAGATGCTCTGCTTTTTTCCTAAATAGACACTAATGTTTTTGGTTCGAGACTGGAGTTTCCCTTATGAATACAACTATGGACTACAGGGAGGAATGTCGTTTTTGGATAAGCGTCTACAAGTAAGTAGGAATATAATCTTCTGGGGGATTACCTAAAAGTAGTGATAACTTTCTCATTGGCCTTTAGTTGTTGTATTTAAAGCAGATTATGGAAAATTATTTTAAGTGTGTTTAAATGCTTATGAATATTAGCCCACACGATTATAATTCACGGTAAGATTAAAGATCCTGGGTATATAATGCACAGGGACTATAGAGAAGAACCCTGGGCAAAAGTCCAAGCTTTGATTGTAATTTCCATTCCATGTTTTACACCAGCTTCTATATGTGCATTTAGAATGTCACATTCGGAACTTTAGTTCTGTTACTCTTATTCAAAATTCTGATTTGTTTTGGGGCGGATATAAACAGGCTTAGCCTGTTCTCCAAAATTGAAACACAGGAGTCCTTTGTCAGTCACTGCTAACTGGTTAGATCCTCCTTCATGCCCACAAACCTTTCCGTGTTCTTCCTGACTGTTGTGCAATACTCTTTTTTAAGGAACTCTTTAGTACCTGTTCTTTGGTAGCTATAGGAGTCAAGCCACGGTTAATCAGATTTATGCATTTATTGCTACCTGGGGTTCTAATGTTTCTCATTGGACATAAGACAGGCCACTGTGATCCATCAGAGCTGGGAACTCTTCTCTCCTTTGTCCTATACTAGTGGTTCCTAGTGAAGAACAACAAATGGTCTTTTGTAAATTGTTGGTCTTCTTTGGCAGGTGAAAGAACATCAACATGAAGAAATTCAGAACGTCCGAAATCACATTCACTCATGTTTCTCCAGTGTCACCTGTTTTCTCCTACCACATCCAGGACTCGAGGTGGCCACAAGCCCTGACTTTGATGGCAAGTTGAAAGGTGTGTTATAGATGACGTTATTTTAAACGTGTGATTTGGTCTCTGGAATTAAATAGTGACCAGAAAATGTCAATTGTGAACCTAGTGAGTGCTTAAGAGAAACAGCGTGTTCTCTTAGAACAGCATTTAGAGTCTAGTTCCGTTTTTGCTCCGCCTTACTGCAACTGTCAATTAGTTTACCTTAGTTTCTCCATCTGAAATGGTGGTGGTGATATCCATTAATGATCTTTCTAAGAGACATGATTACTGATTTACAAGAGATAAAAGTGCTAAATAAAGGAAGGCTAAACATTAGTCAGCTAATATTTATCAAGTGAAATTAATTTGCCACAGAAAGGTAACATGATTCATGGCATGGCTGTTTGTTTTTAAAGCAAAACCTGATGCTGGGTCGTGTGTTAATAGCAGGAAGTGCTGACTAGATGCTAGCTTGGAGAAATCAGAGTTGGGACTCTTGGGTTCCATTACCTTATTTTTGTTCCTTATTCATCGAGACCTTGAGTCATTTAATGGCTAGCCCTCAGTTTACACATATGTTGAACTCTAAGCACTTTTGTTTGTGAACTTATCTGAGTTTCTCAGGTTCCCGGTAAAGTAGAAATAATAAGAGCTGCCATTTTTAGAGGCCCAGTAGTGTTCCCAGCTGTCAGTCTGTTTGGGCTGCTCTAAGAAAATACCACAGACTGGTAGCTTATCAACAACAGAAATTTATTTCTCATAGTTCTGGAGACTGGAGACTGGAGAGTGCCTGCATGGTTGGGTGAGGGTCCTTTTCCTGGTCTCAGACTTCTGGTTGTGTCCTCATGTGGTGGAAGGGGCCAGGGAGCTCTGTGGGGTTTTATGGAGCACTAATCCCATTCCTGAGGGCTTCACCCTCTTGACCTAAGCACCTCCCAGAGGCCCCACCTACGCTAATACCGTCACCTTGGGGTTAGGACTGCAACATAGGAATTTTTTGGGAGACACAAACATTCAGCCCATGGCACCAACACTGTGCTAGTTACTTTCATGCTTAATTCCATGCAGCTGTTAGGCTCCGGAAGTTAAGTGACTTGCTCCAAGTACTCAGCTAGTAAGCGGTGGGGCAGATTCCCATCCAGATCCTTCTTACCCCTAAGGCATACTGTGCTGAAGTAGAAGTTCTTCTGTTACGTTGGGGAAGTCGTTTAGGGGGTCTGTGCTGTTTAGTTACCACGAGAACTTGCCTCTTGAAGTGGAAGTTTTTCATAGCTTCATATTAGACATAAAATGCACCATTTTCAGTTTATTTGACTCAGTTGATCCGAGAAAGTTAGATCCAAGAAAGTTAATATACTTGTTCAACTTAAGATTTACGTAAGTAAATCAACTTAAGACCAGCTCTTCTTAATATTACAAAAGAAACCGAGTGTGAGAGACTTACCTTTACCTTCTATTAGTCACTTGTATGATATTTTTATGTGGTTGGCAGGTTTCCTGAGCAGGAAACTTCCACAGCCTGTCAGATGGCAGTTCAAAAATCCAAGTTCGAGGGCGGTCCGATGGTGCAGCAGTTAAGTGCGCACGTTCTGCTTGGCAGCCTGGGGTTCGCTGGTTTGGATCCCAGGTGCAGACATGGCACTGCTTGGCAAGCCATGCTGTGGTAGGCGTCCCACATATAAAGTAGAGGAAGATGGGCACGGATGTTAGCTCAGGGCCAGTCTTTCTCAGCAAAAAGAGGAGGGTTGGCAGCAGATGTTAGCTCAGGGCTAATCTTCCTCAAAGAAAAAAAAAAAAATCCAAGTTTGAGGGCTGGCCTTAGGGAGACGTGTGCTTAGGCAGCACTGGAGCTAGAACCTTTTCCCTGAAAAGGAGTTGCTCCTCTGAGCTGAGTATGGAGAGAAAGTTGAGTGTGTAGGTGATGTGTTCGTTTCGGGTTCGAACACTCCATTATTAGACATACTTTCACCAAACCTAAGCTCTGCTTTGTTCCTCATTGGTAGGGCAGATGCTGAGTGACATTCTTAGATGTGGACGTTTAGGAGAGGGTTAGTGAGAGTGACTCCTGCCTTTCCTCTCGCCTCAGGCTGCTCTCAGGTTATCGGACATAAACGTACAAAGTGGCCTTCCTCCATATTTTCAAGCATTTTACTATTTCAAGACGTTCTGTTTTAAAATTCACTTTTATCATGTCATTCCAGGAAATAGAAATAGTTTTTTAAAGTTCTGTAGCCCCGACTTTTGAAATTTTGTATCGCTTTTGAATATGCATGTCATGTGAGTTTCCTAGGACCGCTGTAACAAAGTACCACAAACCGGGCGGGCGTGGGCAGGGCTGGTTCTCTGTGGAGGCTCTGACGGAGAGTCCCTCCCATGCTTCTCTCTTAGCTTCGGTTGGTTGCCAGCAATCCTTGTCATTCCTTGGCCTGTAGTTTCATTGCTCCAATCTCTGTCTCTGTTGTCACATGGCCACCTTCTCTGTGTGTATCTATTTCTGTGTGTTCTCTCTTTTTAGAAGGACACTACTCTTTGGATTTAGGTCCCTGAATCCAGTATGGTCTCACCTTAACTAATTACATCTGTAAAGACTCTGTTTCCAAATAAGGTCACATTCTGAGATTCCAGGAGGATGTGCATTTTAAGGGGACACTGTCCAACCCAGTGTATATGTTTACAGATTATGAATGGTTTATTACTAAATATTAAATATGCTAAGTTTCATATTTATTATATTTATAAAATAGGGAACAAATTCTATATGGGTAACCTTTAGTCTCATAATTATGCACTGTTTCTCTCATCCATGATTAAACTTTAAAACATATTTACATGTTAAAATCTTCCTTTTTACTTGAAAAGGCAAGTCCCAAAGAAAGAAACACAAATGGTCAGTATATACTCATGAAAATATGTGTAGCATCACAATAAGCAATGAAGGGAAAATGTATTGGTATAAATTCTTATAGTCTTTATGTGACAGTATCAAAATTTAAAATGTTCACATCCTTTGATCCAGTATCTCATTTTTAGGAAATTATCCTAAGGAACTATCCAAATAAGTAGATAGAAATGTATGGACAAGGATATATACTACTGTAGCATTATTGTAATCGAGAATAATTGGAAACAACCTGAATATGTGTTTTTGAGGAAGTGGTTAAATTATGAGGCATCTGCACAAAGGGATAAAATGCAGCTATTTAAAAGAATAAGGTAGGTAGATGGACCTATCTGTATTTACATAGGAAGATGTCCATGACATGTTATTAAATGTAAAAAGATTGCAAAGTGGCATATGTTGTATAATCCTATTTATTTAAAAATGTACATTTAAAGTGTATGTATATATGTTTAAAAATGTATGTTTTTAAAAGGAAAAATTTGAAAATTAAAAATTTCTTTTACTTCACTTGGTATTGATAGTCTGCCCTGTGTGTCTGTTTAAGGAACTGTAATCGTTAGGAGGATTAATCGTGAAGAATTCTTATTAGCTCTGCAAAGGTTTATGTATTTTTTAGCTCCCTAATGTTTTGTAATTTTAGGGAACCTTTTATAACTTTAAAAAAAAATTAATTTCCTTGAAATTTTATGTTTTCAGTTTTCACATTATAATTTATCATCCAATTTGGATCCAACTCATTTTCCTAATGGCTACCCATTTGTTCCAACAGTATTTATTGAATAGTCCAACTTTCCCGCACTGGTTGAAATGTCGCCTTTATCATATATTAAGCCACTACTCCATGTGTAATATGGGGATTAATCCCTTTTTAAAGCTGCTACAGGCCATGCTCTGGCGCCATCCTGAGGAGGCTGTAGAGTATGAGAGTATTTAGGTGGAGATTGCTACCATTTACTTAGGTAGGATGGATTAAAAAACTTCTTACATTTTTTGATGTCAAGAGATCAATGATCAGTTATTTAAGATGGGATGGGAGTCAGTGGAGATAAGAAGTGCATGTTGCTATTGAGAGGAGAATCTCATGTAGATTATGAGCCATAAATAAATTCTAGGTAGATTACAAAGTTAAGTTATAAACATTAAGGCATGGGGAAAAAGTTAATTTTATTAGACCATTGGAATTAGGGAAGGACTCTTTACAATTAGAAGGAATAAAAGAAATTGTCAAGGAAACGTGTCACAGATTTGAATACATAATAATCTTATGCATATTTAAAAAGCGAACAAACTGGATAAAATATTTCAGTGATCACAGTACACGTAAGGATAGCGTGTTGATTTGCTTATGAGGAGTGACTGCATTCTAAGATAAAGGCCTATAGTAGAGAGTTCACTGAAAAGGAAATCAGCTGGTGAACAGATACGGAGAAAGTTTGCCCTAACTAGTAATAAAAGAAACAAAATAACGAGCCACTATGAAATTTTTAAATGTACTATTAGATATCTAAAAGAATACAGAAGTATTACATATGAAAAAGAAGACACACAAGATGTATATGTAAGGTATGAAACATAACATCATGAACATCCTGCCCAGCTTTGTGTCTAGAACTGGAATTGGAAACTTTTGTAATGGACCACATAGTAAGTGTTTTAGGCTTTCTGTGCCATACAACTGCTCAGCTCTGCTGTTGTAGCAAGAAAGCAGCCAGAGACAACGTGTCAATCAATGGACCTGGTTGTGTTTTCAATAAAGCTTTATTTACAATTGAGTTAGCAGGCTGTTTTGGTACAAGGGCTGTCGTTTGCCAGTCTCTGTCTAGAACACTAGCAGTACTCTTTCCTGTACCTGTGTGCTGCTTCCCTGTCCTGTTTTCCTGCCTCCCCACGGAAAGAATCACTATTCTAAATTTTGCTTATTCTGTCCTTGAATTTTTTAAAAAATTATTACTTGTGTTTGATTCGCTTAATACTCTATCGCTAAGTTTCTTTAATTTTGAACTTTATAAAAATATAGAATGTGGCCAACTTGCATTTTCACTGAGTGTTTTATTTCTAAGATTATCTGTGTTATTGCACGTAGTTGTGGTTCATTCTCTTTCATTGTTGTACAATAGTCCCTTTTGTGAATATAGCACAG